AGGCATGCTGGGTCCCCAGGTCATCCTGCATCGAGGCCATTGGACCAGGTAGGCCCTGACCTCAGGCCTTTGCACCAACCAGGACGTCACAGGAACTGGCTCCAAGGATCCAATGTTTCAGGTAGTCTTCATGTAAGAAGGAGACCTGCCTGCGCAGCGGTTCCGTGTTGGGCTGCTTACCACAAGGTCAGCGATTCAAAACAACCAGCCACTCCCAGGGAGAAAGGAGGTGTTCTGCTCCAGGAAAGAGTCGGTCTTGGGAAACCCACAGGTGGCAGTGAGAAATGATAGCGAACGCTGAAAAGCTCAGGCTCAACCCCCTGTACGTGCAGCACAGCAGTGTGGCTGCCGAGTGCCCTTGAGCCCACGCAGAACTGCCCCCTCTGCCCCTGGGGAGGCTTCGGCTCTCATCTTTATGGAGACCAGCACTGGTGGCGCAGTGGCTAAGCACTGGGCTGCTACCAGAAAGGTCAGCAGTTTGAACCCACCGGTGGCTCCCAGGGAGCAGAGGACTGGAGATGAACCTACACTAAGCTGACTGCCACTAAGTCAATTCTGACTCAGAGCGGCTTCACAGACGGTTTCTGGGGCTGTACATCTGTACAGGAGAAGACAGCCTCACCTTTCTCTTGTGCAGTGGTGGTGGGGGTGGGGTGCGGGGTTTTGAACCGCCACAAGGTTTTGAACCGCCAACCTTGTGGACAGCAGCCCAACACTAACTTGACAGGTATGAGCTTTGGAAACACCATGAGGGTGCTATAGGGTGTCCAAGAGTTGGAGCTGGCTCCAGAGCACACAACAACAATTGTTATGATGCTTGAGCCTATAGTGGCAGCCATTGGGTCAATCCATCTTCTGGACGATCTTCCTCAAGTTTTGCTGCCCCTCCACACCAAGTGACGTCCTTCTCCAGGGACTGGTCTCTCCTGACAACATGTGCAAAGTACGTGAGACAGAGTCTCCCCTTCTAAGGAACGTTCTGACTGTACTTCTTCCGACACAAATCCGTTCACTGTTCCGGGCACTGGAAAACGCCATGGCTTGGGTCAGGCGTCCCCAGGCCGCCAGGTGACCTCTTTGCTTTTCAATAATTCAGAGAGGTCCTTCGCGGCAGATGGACGGTGGAACGCTTCTCTGGACTTCTTTCCAGCTGCATCCATGAGCCCTGAGTGTGGATCCAGCACAACGCAGTCCCAGACAAGGTCAGTCCTTTCCTCCTTTATGACGCCGCCGCTTACTGGTCAGTACGGAGGAGTTTTATGTTGAGGTCTACTTCCTACTGACCAAAACACCAAACCCACCTACCTGCCACTGAAGCGGTTCTGACTTGTAGCGACCTCCTAGGGCAGGGCAGACCTGAGACCAACCCTAGGAGTAGAAAGCTTCATCTTTTTCCTGAGGAGCAGGTGGTGGTTTTGAACTGCTGACCATGTGGTTGGCAGCCAACAAGTAACCTACTCTGCCACCGGGGCTCTACTCTGCCACTGTGGCTCCTCCAATCCATACTGAAAGCTGTTGTAATCTTTGATCTTCATCAGCAAGTGTTTCAATGTTGCTCCATCTGCATATCAAAGGTTGTTAATGGGCCTTCTGCTGATCCCGATCTGTCTTCGATTGTCTAGCCTCTAGATCTTTTGCTCAGCACGTGATTGAGTAAGAAGTGAGAAGAT